AGCTGTTGTAGGCAAGAAAACATTTTAGCTCAATCGAATGTGTTGTACTTGAAAAATGACAAGGATTTTCTACTTTTTTTTTTTTGTATCAAAAACTCATTTTTCATGAAAACCAAATGAATATGAAAATTTTAATGTTTCGAATGTGAATGTTTCTTTTATACAGTTTCATTTAAGATACACACATAAGTATATCCCGAAAACAGAAACTGAACATATTTATCTCTGAATAAATAATGAAGTGCTAAGTTCTGAATCAGCATCTTATATTTCAAACTTGTGTATAACCCTCGAAAACAGCACAATAATAATATGTAAAATATAGACAGATCAGATATATTGACAGCAATTTCATATCCATTGAAATTAATAAGTTCCGATTCAGGACAGACTTTATCATGGTCTATCAAAAACAATTCTATCACTGTTCTTTTTTTTGTCAACAATGTATGCGTGATTCAAGGTAAATTTAATTAAAATCTAACATTTTAGTTGTTTCTATTTCTTTTTTTTTTTTAATTGAATTGATACTAAAGCAAATACATGATTTCTATGTAACAATGTATAAGTATACCAAAGAACAATAAAGCATGTGGGTCACGACTAACATACACGGATATATGTGAAATCAATCCTATCTACTAATTTTAAATATAAAACTAAATATTTACTTTCCTTGAAGATCTCCTTGACAAGAATACTCAAATATTATTTAAAAACACTATCGAGTTAAGGACTGTTTGATGATGCAAATAGAAGAAGTTTGAAATTATTCGTAACATAAGCAAATTTACTCATAGAAAGATAAATCAAAGTTAAATAAATAAAAACCATATCTAAACTTCTGAATACATTTTCTTTTTTTTTCGAAATGTTATGTTTTTTCTTTTAGTTATGAGACTTGATAAATCATTTCGTGTTATTCTTAATTCACCTATATTTCCAAAAATGACTGTTGAACGAGCTACTGATCGTTCAGTACGATTTGGTGCTCAAGATGAATCACAATTACGAGTATTCATTATTAAAGTAAGACCTTTATTTTCTCGTTCTAAATAAATATTGAAGCCTTATCATTTCGTTCTTCTTTTTTTTTGTCAAGGCTTTAGCAAATGATTGTAATAATCTATGCAAAGAATTACAATCACGTATTCAGATTATTGAACGACAACAAATATCAACATCAAATATTCATACACCAGTATGTTTTCTTTGTTTCTATGTTATTTTTATTTGAAATAGTTTATTTCTTCATTTTAGACAAGTAGTAATAATACAAGTATATCATCGGATATAGTTACTCTTGATGATTCATCTCCTAAACAAAATTCATCAACAGGTCAACGAAAACGATCTCATTCAAAAAGTGATTCAGATACATCAGAAAATACAAATGATCTTTCAAAAAAATCAAAGTACATACTAATTTTAATCATTGAAAAATGTTTGATCTTATGAAGAAATTAATCATTTTTGAATTCGAATTCTGTGTCTAAGGTCTATTCAAGAGAAGTAAGAAAAGAATAAATATATTTATGTTTCACAAACAAAATGAATAACAGTATTTTGACCTCAAAATTTTTTGTTCATTAATAGATCTACTTCTAATTATAATGTTCTAAAAAATTCAGCTCCAAAAAAAATGATTTCTTCACTAGATATTGAATTGCCAAAAAAAAAAACATGAGATGTTTACAACTTTCATTGCACATGAGTGAATTTAGAAATTCAATATCTTGTGAAAGAAATTGTCGTTTAAGCGGAAATCTACGGAGTATTTTAGTTGCAAATAGACCTAACGATCGATGAAATATCATTCTTCGTTATATTGATGAGACATAAAAATATTTATCCTTTTCGAATTTTTCATACATTATTGAAGTCTACCTTTTGCACAGATTCTGAACTCGAAAACGATTAATGATCCTTTCGTTAGTAAACATAAAGTTTGTAAAGTGCAAGAAACTCAATTCTATTTGTAAATGACATTCTTTGATAACTAAATGAGTATGTCACAATTGACACGAGAATTTAATTGAATTTGGAATGTATAAAAACAAGGGAAACTAATTGATCTAGACAAAAGCTCATAAAATAAAGTTATATTATAGATACTATGAATAAAAACTGTAATGGTTTTTCCTGATTTTTTTTCATTTACTCTGTTAGCAAAAAATTTATCAGGAATGATTATACATCATCTTCTATAGATTGTGGTATTTAAATTAATAGTTTAACTTTCAATATTATTAATGCCTACGATCATAAGACACACAAATCGTGCTATTCACTCCTCTTTGCAAAAACTACCCACATTAACCTTCTACTTGTCTGAATAAATACTTGAAATAAAAAAACAACATTTTTGTCAAAAAATTTTAATGAATCATTCAATGTTCCTACGTTCTCAAGATGAAGAAACAAAATATCATCGAAATATTTATTCTAATGAACAAAATAAATATAGTCAACTGATGATTGTCTATATATAGAACAACAGTCTATATGACAAATTTATGAAATCCTATTTCAATCTCAACTAACTGCTAAACTCATACGCCATATAACATAATAAAATCTCTATATAACAAGCAATAAAGCACTTATTTATAATCATATAAGTAATAATAATCCTCTTAACAACATACTTATTGAAACGTAATCTTATGTCCTATATTTTTAATATACAATCACAAACAAAAACATTTCTTACTGAATTATTTTCATAATAATGAATAATAATTTTTTTTTTCAATCTTATTTATCTAGCATAAAGATAAAGTTACAAATCAATTCCAAAATGAAATGTAGCAAAAGAAAAAAACGGAAGCATATATTTTCATAAATAAATGAATGAATTATTACAAAATGAATATTTAAAATCCCAATCAGCATAATACGCAATATTTTGAATTATACACGCAAAAAAACAAAAAATTTTCTAAACATAAATATACGAAAAGATGGGATTATATGTATTGCGTTCTATTTTACAAAAAAAAAACATTGTTAATAATAAAAAAAAAAGCGAATCTATTGTTAAGTGAATTGTTTTTTGTTCATAATAAACAATTTCTTGAAAGTGAAAAGAAAAAAAAAGAAATTTTTACTTTACCAATTGTTTGTTTATTTATTTTAGGTTGGTTGAAGAAAATAAAAATACCAATCAATCGACAAGTGAAGATGATTCTATTGAAGAACATAATAAATCAAACGAACAAGACACAGCTAATAGTTAAAAACAAAAACAAAAACTTAAGTCAGAGAAATTCTTATCTGTTGTTATTTTCTTTCGTTTATTATTATTATTATGCTAAAAAACAAAACAGAAGTCTAGATTATATACATGTAGATTGTTTTTTTTTTCTTGTTTTGTGTCTTCTTCTTCTTTTTTTTTTTTATACATGACATGGACCATGTCGTCTTCGTTTAGATATATGAAAAAGATTAAAGGGTAAACAGAAGAAAATATGTTGTTGATTATTATGAATTGTAATATCATTATCAAAATGTTGTTGTCGATTGATAGCTGTACTTGCATTGGATTGTTTCGAATGATGATAACGATGACATTTTTTTAATGGACGACAATATGAATGAGTTTTTAATTTAATTTGTTGTCGTTGATTTTCATTTTTAAATAGAATTGGAGCTGACAAGATAAAATGTGATGGTTGATTAATAACAGGTACAAATTTTGGTGTACTACATAAATATGGTGCAAATGACATAATGAAAAAATTTTCTTATTATATGAATTTTGTTTCTATATATATATTGAGAGATTCGACATGGGTAGATATAAAAATATCTACTCAGCATGTGATCGATATGCCGGTATATTTTTATTTTATCTTATTTCGGATATATGTTGTTCACATCCACCTACTGAGGTAATTGAGTTTCATTTCAAGACATTATTCGATCAACCGTAGTAATGTCAAAGTGAAGAAGAAGAAAAAAACACAAAAAAAAAAAAACAAGAATTTGTTTTTATTTATATTATCTAGTCGATGTTGAGTGTGAAATTCACATAGAGTTAATTATATATACATATCGTATTTAATTGATATGAATTTTGATTAGAAAAATCAAAGAAAATTTAAAATATGATAAGATATTTTATATATTAGATGAAGAACAAAATAATAAGTAAATATATATATATACATAAAATAACATGTGATAAACTATAAATATCAGTAATCTTTCAACATAAGACAAAGGTAGATAGAGATGAGTTTTTCCTTTTGTTTTATTATCACTTATGTAAATGACATTTAGACGATGCGCGAAATAAGCTTTTTCTTTTAACGATATATGTTTTTTGTATATTCACAGTTAATCATTGTCATCACTTTGGTTCTTCTTATTCTTTTTTCTTTTTTTTTTTTTTTTTCTATCGTTTGATTATTAGACGCTCGATAGCGTCAGCAGTGTCTTGTCAATATTATATTGTCGCCATTTTTATGTTTATATCATGAATATCAATGCATATACATATGCAAGAATTCAACATCTTACATATGTATATATACATATATCCACAACTGTTCTCTCTATATGCAAGATATACAGAAGTCTGCAATCGTGGTATTGCATAAATTTACAAGAGTGTCTTTCTCGTCTTTTAAGAAGTAATTAGAAGGCGTAAAGAATAGTAACAGAATACAGAAATGGCAAATAGAGTCGCGCATGTTCTTCAAGTTGGATAGATGACGATTCTCTAGGCTTTTTTCTTCTCTTCTCTTCGTTTTTTCTTCTTCTTCTTCTTCTTCTTCTCATCTCGACCTCATCTTTTGTTCTGTTTTTGCTCTCTTTCTCTCTATCGTTTTCGTTGGGTTGAGTTTTATTCGTTTGTTTAATAAAAGAGAGACAAAAGAAAATGAAAGTTGTTCTCTTTTTTCTGTTTTTTTTTTCTTCTTTCGTTTCGTTTTGTTTCATTCTTTATAGTATTCGAATAGGCGAAGAGTAGTAAATTTTACTTTAGACAGTACAACATGTTGGTCACCTCTTCACAATCATCAACTCAACGGCCATTGGGTTTATCGGTAGAAGAACTCTTTGCTTTAGATCGTCAATATCGTCGTATTGAACAACAACAACATTTAGCACAATTACAAAATCAAGCACGTGTAACATCATCGAATTTAAATCGTTTAAATAGTCGTTCACTTGATCTTATATCATCAACAAATCCTCATCTTACTGTTCTACCATCACTTGAAGTACATGGTCATGGATATACTCATCGACTACAACCACCATCTCCATCCGTTGTAAATTATGCACGATCACATTCAATTGATCAACTCAGATATACACCACCAGTATTTTCAACATCTTCATCTCAATTATTAAAACCTACATATAATCAACGATCAATCATAAATGATACTGTACAACAAAATTATTATTCTAAAAATCGAACTAATTTACAGGTAAGGCTTTATTAAATAATCAAACTATATATTTATATACATAAATATATAAATAATATACACATCGAATGTAAAAGAAAGAAAAGTAATTTCTTTTTTTTTTTTTTTTTTTTTCTTTTTTCTTTTCAAACATCGATTACGACTCAAGGGAAGTTGACGTTTCAAAGAGCACACGCATATAGAAAAAGAAAAAAGAAAAAAAAGGAAAATAGTTGCACGTTGTTGTTTCTTTTATTGACAGCATCCACTTATGGCTACCGGTACGCCGCCATCTTTGGGAAATAACGTCATGTATGGTATTCCTCCATCATCAAATGATCATAATGATATACGAAATTCTTGTAAATTACGTCGACAACAACCTATTAAACGTGAATCATCACGTCGTATTGTTGTTCGACCTGTTGTACAAAGACGACGAGAACCATCAATTAGTTCATCATGTGAATCATTAGATGAATTACGTTCACCTACTACTACTACTACTCGTCAAATTCCAACAGAACAGGTTTTTTTATCTATTTATTAAAAAAAGGAAATAAAAATGTCAAACATTTATTTCTTTTTTTTTTTTGTTTTAGTCAAATATTTCTAATCAATCTGTACTATTTACACCATCATCACTATTAACAACTAATATTATGGATGAATCAAAGAAAAAAACAAATAATTTGATACGTTCATCATCAAATAATGATTCATTATCTGATGATAGTGATATAAATCTATATGAAATGCGTGTACCGATTGGTAAAACATATGATACATCAGATATAAGTGTACAATTAGAAGGACCAAAAATTTTAATACATTGTCATACAATAGAACCAACAGATAAACGTGGAAATTATCGTAAACATGAATTTAAAACTGAATTATTAGTACCTGATGTTGTTGATGATGAAACAATTGTTGCTTATTTAACTGAAGATGGACAATTAATTGTTGAAGGTAAATATCAACCATGGGCATGGGAAGAAATTAAACGAAAAAGAAAAATTGAACAACAAGAATTAAAATCTTCTTCATCTGCATTTCTTCAACAAAACTCAACTCTACCATCACCATCACCATCGGTTTCTGTACCATCAACAAATTCTACTTTAGCATCGACAAGAAATGATGGAGGTAGGTTAATAAGAAAAAAAAAACTTAATGGGATGCTTTTAAACTAAACATGGTGAAAATTAAAAAAAAAAAAAAAATAAATAAATTTTAATATAAACTAAAAATCATACACTGGACATCGTCTTTAAAATATTTCTTTCTTGAACTGGTGTCCTTTTTTTTTCTTTACATACGCATTGTTCTATATCTAATCAATTTTCTAATGCATTACATGTCGAAATCATCGACGCGATGAACGAAGAAGCAGGTAGTTAATCAATAATAATAATAAAAAAAAAAAACTAACCAAATATTTTTAATTCTCTGTGTGTGTATGTTTATATGAGTGTTTATTAACTCTTAAGTGTTTTTCTTTCAGCACTTCTAAGTCAGCTCAAAGCAGTGGTTGATTGGTTCAGTAGGGCATTATCGCCCTAGAAGCAATTTCTTTTTTTATTTTTAGCACGGTTCGTTTGTATATGATGTTTTTTTACCCAGCATGGTGTGCTATTTATCTTTCTTTGATATTTTTTTTCCTCTCTCATGAAATTCTATTTAGATTATTTTCTTGCCTTTTCTTTTCAATAGACCTGCAACAAGAGAAGATGTCACCGTCACTCATATCTAACAATCAACGAATAATGTATAATAATAATAATAATAATAATAATAATCATATAAACAGAATTGAAACATTAAATAATAATCGAACTGTGGTACATATTGGTGAACCACCATCATCATCATCATCACAACAATGTACAGATACAAAAAGTGTAAGTGATATAATCAATCGTTTTAACACATTAAATACAATGCCTAAACCAACTATATGGGATGGACAATATACATTTACAAATGATATTCCACCTCTTCTTATATATCATCTTCGTTTACCATTTGAAACTTTAATGGATTCTATACGTATACAATCTGATCCAGAATTAAATTTATTAAAAATTTTTATTGAACAACAAGAGAGAAATTTATTACCACAATATGAACAACAACAACAAAATAAAATAATAATACGTTCAACATCACGTTTTTGTCGTCTACCAAGAGATCATACATATGATTATACGCATTTACGTGTCATATTTCTTAAAGATAATTTTATTCGTATTGAATTACCTACAATAAATTAAAAAGAAAAATATCATTTGCTTTTTTTTCCTTTCCGTCATATTAACACCGGTGCTAAGATTTTCTTCTCTTGTGCTTTTTTTTCTGTCATATGAATATATACTTATATTTACGTGGATTATTGTATCATTTTTCTATTTGTATCTGTATATTTTTTTTTTTGTTTCGTCTTAGAAATGTGTGATAAAAATAATGAATTATTATTATATCAGTATTAAAATCTAAAAAATATTCGTTAAAATTTGATTTGTGATATTAGCTAGAATATTTGAAATTTTATTCTTCTGTTCCGTAATAAACAAAAATCAAAAATGTTTTTGATATTTGTCTGAAAAATTTATTTTGAAAGGTATATAAGCAAAGTGGAATCTTTATTTTTTTTTTTTTTTTTTACTAAATAACTACTTGACATTTTGTTTTTCCTTATAAGATCAAGTCATTAGTTTAAGTTAAAACAAAAAAAAACGAACTATTATTTATATATCGAACGTTCTAAAAGGTTAATAGTCAAGAAGTTATTGAATGCTAATTAGAAATTCTTCCCGATCTATAATAAATATCACAGAATGCTGAATACAAAATTGTTCTGTTATTTATTTTCATTAAAGATAATATGGAATAGATAGTTATTCATCTTGTTTTTCTCATGCATATTTCTATTAATTGAGAGATATATTTGCTACTGATAGAACATTTTCATTAAAAAAAGATTATTTATCAAACGTGAACTTTGATAAAAGAAGAATTGTTGATAACTAATGATTGATTTTTTTTTGTAGTGTGTAAAGTAACATTATATATTGCTTAGATTTAATTATTTAATATGTTATGATCTAGTTGATTTTCTTAACAGAAATTTGATGATCTTTTAGTAAATCATTGCAAATCTTTATCCAGGAAAAAACGTTTTCGAATAGATCAAATAATTTTATCTTTGAACTAAATCGTTTCAATTTATCGAAGATATTATTTTTGAACTACTAGTGTGAATTAACTGTAAAATGGACATTTGAACAAAAACTCTTTTGCTTCTTTTCTTTGGTTTTTTGATGAATATACATATTATATGATAGACGCTTATATACTTTTATGTAAAGGGATATTAACAGCTCATTATACTATTACAAAATATGTAAAATAAAAAGTCTCACGCAAAATGTAGTTGTTTTCCAAGATCATCAATCACCAGAGAAATGATTCATTCTACTTATTTCTGCAATTCGAACAGAAAGGTTTTCTATGAATTTTTATAACTGGTTCTCGATTTTTTGTTCGTTCTTGTTGCTATTTGCTCGGTATTGTACATTTACGTATTCTGTTTGTCTTAATCTAACATTATTATTATTCTAATTTCAACATGAGTTATGTATTTTCTGAAACTTTCAGTTCAATCCGATATTTTTGTGAGAAGAAATCCTCAAAATATGGATGGTTTTCTATGATAATCAGCTACCATTTCCGAACCCCAAAAAGAACTTCTAATGATTAATTCTCTTATTTAGCTATCGAAAGTAACGGAAGATGAAAAAATTCAGCATTAATTTTTTTTTTGATACAGCAGTGTAATAGAATATTGTAGAGATCTCTTCTTTTTTTTTAATTAGAAAGAGCAAAGTGTCTAGTGCAAAAATGTACAAAAGAATTTGATTTAAAATGTTTGTCATAAGCGACAAAACGTACCGAAAAACGATTCTGCAACTTTTTTCGAACTTGTAAAATATTATGACAATCATATTTTGATTTGTCGAATCTGAGGTTTATAATGTACGGGTAGTGAAGTCTTGTAGCACGAAACAAGAAAATCCTTGCATCTTTTATAATGATTATAATGATCGCTTTAATGATATCGTTTGGTATTTGATCATATTCGAAAGCAGTAACTATATCTTCTATATGAAAAATAGAGCTCAATGAGTCCTCTATTGCACGATAATATTTGAAATAGGACACAGATTTTCTGTGAGATATTCAATCAAATTCGTAGAATTATTCGATCTCCATACTTTGTCTATTTTTTTTGCGGTAACAAAATCTATACCTTGTGTCGCGATGTTCTAGAGAAAGTTAAGTTGATAGAAATTCGTTCGAATTATGTCAGGGAGCTTGATGTCATGAGATGATCCAAATGATTTTGAATCTTCAATATGAGTTTTCCTTTTTCTTCAGTAAGTTTCACAAAACACTGATTTTGACGAATTGGCCTCCTTATTTTACCCTAGATTATTAAAATTGGTGAAATAATCTCCAATCAGTTGTTGTTAGTAGAAGAAATAATGGCAACCTTCGACAGGACAGAAACGACTCTTGGTGAAATCGTTTATGATTATTTTATGGTAATTGAAGTTTCATTGCCCAAAAATTAAGATCGCTTCACATCGCTTCTATGTAATCTTTTGCGAGTTTTCTTTGTGTTTTGTACCTATTAGACGTCGACATTGAACGTTATCATTTTCTATTGCGATGGTCGCGAGAATGAAGACTTCGAGAATATGCGAGTAGATATTCTTGTACTGCTTACATCATACATTGAAGAAAGTAATCGATATGTAAGGAATCTTTTGTTGCATGAAATTTCTATAACTATTTGAAAACAAAATCATGTATATCTCGTCAGCTCTATACCTTTGCTACGCTATCAATAGCAATAGTAAAATACAAAAATTATATGATCTTAATTGTCATCATGACAATCAATCAAAATTGATTTCATCCACATCCATTCATTGTTTATTTAATTATTTCATTATTGAAAAGGCTAAAGGAAAACAAAGATGATTATTAGATATTTTGTACCTTTCAAATGCAGCTTGGTTATTATTATATCAGTTTGTCAAACGAATGCGATTTGTTCCTACCAGAGGTGCAGGATCTGCCCCTAAAATAACAAATCTTCCTGAGTCGAAAATTCAATTCAAGATTCTTTTGAAAAATTATAAAGTTTTTCTCTGAAAATGGAAGATAACAGATACTGCATTATAAATGACTCATTTTTATTTCCTATCTTTGAAGCATTTAACAATTTATTTTAAAACTTTGACTTTTATGTCAATTAATAGAGAACTTAATTCTCTACAAACATATCGACTTTGTTTTTCGAATAGATTTGTCGCGTCACAGCAAAGTTAGCAAGATTAACATCTTCTCAATCGTATGAGTGAGAAAATCACCAAAGCGGAAAAATTAAAGAGCTTATAGAAACGGATCTGCTGAAATTTGAAATATACTACAATATTCTATATAAAATTCCTCATCTTTTTATGTGAATTCGAACAAAACCGAGTCATTGTTGTCGACTGATTCAAAGTGGCCTAACTGTTTTAGATGTTCAAGCGAATGCATACATCATTTTTTTCAGTTTAATTTTGTACCCAATATGAGGGTGTGGATGTGAGTGTAGTTTTTATTTTCATTCACACGCACAACCACCCATACCCTTCTTTATTAAAATGAGCTTTGATTTTTAACATTCATTTTACAAACTAATCTATAAAATATCTCAGCCTTATCTATTTGTTTTCTAATTGAACAAAGTTTTGAAAATATTCGTTCAATGTTCCATGCAAAATTCACTCAAGCTACCGACCATAAGAATTTACATTTTCATTTAAAGATTACAAAAAGAAAACAGTCTTTGATATGTAGTATAAACATCGAACACTTGCACTTCAATAGAAAAATTTTTAAAAAAGTTTTTTCTTTTTACATCATATTATCATAATCTAATTTTTTTAGATAAAAATGTGATGCTATTTTATAGAACTATTCCTTTTCAATTCCAATATCGAGTCTTATATATTGCTTCACTATAAATACAAGTTGCAAACAAATAACATAACGCAGTAATCGTTCAAAGATATAAATATTGCGATATACTTATTAACACAGTTTGTTGATGACGTACTGTTTTATACATTCTATTTTTACAAAATTTAGCTGTATATTAAATACCATTAAATGCGTCAAATGCTTTATTTGGGGATCAGTACCTATTGCATTTTTCTTTCTTGCTATCTATATTCATGAAGACTTTGTCTACATTGAAGAAAAAAAGAATAAGAAATCTAGAAACTATTTTTAGAAATTTCTTATGTTTACCTCGTATTTTTTCCGACTAGCCGATAGTGTTGTAGATCATTTTCTACTGAAGATAATTCTCCTTGTATTTCATATATCTTAAATAAATGAATGCTAATATTAAACTATGAAGATATTTTCGACTTCATTTTGTGCATCAATAAGAATTTCTTTCATTGTTTTTACCATTATTATATTATCTGCAATAAAATAGAAATTATTCTGAATAAGTTCTTTTTTACTATAGGCATACGTAAAAATGTTACCTCTTTCAATTGATGTGTAATTATAATTAATAATTATTTTCCTCTCGAAAATTGATTTTCTATACATCCTATCGAATTTCAAAACAAAAGTTTTTTCTCTTATCATTATCTATCGATTCTGAAGAAGTTCTCTATGTTGCGCGAACGAAAAGTAAATCCAAATTTTTGAAAAATCTATGCATGCTCAGAAAAACTTTCGATAGAGATTATTTATTCTCAAGAGTGGTCTACAGAAATGTATTAATTATTAGTTTTCGAATATGTTACTGTCATTTGGACTTTTTTAAACTAAAATTTATGAAATGAATGTAAATATCCTTCTACGAGTCATGTTGTTAACGCTAGATTCTTTATGATAATTTTGACGAAAAAAAAAGCCTTTAGGTATAATTTTTTCAAGGTATCTAGAATCACTGAACATATAACCATTAGCTCTAGGAAAGTTCATTATTTCGAAATATATGCTTTTTAATTTTGAAAATTCACGTTTCTCATGAATGGTTCGCTCAAATATTCCTAGATATGTCATCGAAATAATACTGATTATGTTCTCACAATAATAATATTCTATACAATTTAAAAAATTATTTAAAATATTTATTAATTTAGCATATTAAAGGTATTCGATATACTTGAAAATTCTATTTTAAATTTAATTTAATACAAATATTCTTTAATATCTTCAAGACATAATTTTCAATCAATGTTATTCTATCTAACAACAATCTTTTATTCAAGTACTGACATATACTTAACCACATTATTAATAAAAAATTCAGAAGAATAAAAGAATTAATTGAATAGATCATTTTGAATTAAGAAAAAAATTCTATGACTCATGGATACAATTTTAATTCTAACGAATTTCTTAAATTCATCTAACAATCTTCAGAATTCTCGCATGTCTTATCATTAAATGATATTGATATTGACGTCTAACACAATGATTAATAGCTATTGTTATATCAATAGTTGTTCAACTGGTTCACTATTTGTTATTACTAGAGTTGAATTACCATGAGTAGTTGATAATAGTTCAGGGTGTGGATGTGGGTGTAAGTGTGTGGGTGTGCGTGTGAGTGTGGGTGTGGGTGTAGGTGAGGGTGTGGATGTGGGTGGGGAGTGTGGGTGTAAGTGTGAGTGCGGGTGTGGGTGCAGGGGGGGGGGGTGTGGGTGTGTGGGTGTGGATGTGGTTGTTGATGTATGGATGTGAGTGAGCGTGTTCTCTACCCTGAAAGCTATACCCAGACCCATGCACACACCCACACCCACATCCTCTCTTCTTTTCTTCTTTTGTTTGGTGATATCTTAGTCTGTTGGCTAACAAAAACACTTCTAATCTTTATTTTCTATCTTCATGTTCACAATTACTACTCTTCATTAACAAAACAAAGCAACAACTGACTATATAGTCACACATAACGTAACACATAAGTCGGTCTAGTGACCAATAGAGAGATAAAAGAAAGAACAAGAGAGGTAGTGGTGAGAGATAGCGCCACTACCTAACACCTCCACCATTTATCAGTGAACGGTTTTATCTGTTCATGGAAATAGATATCAGACAAAGTAACAGAAAATAAAACGAATCCAAGATTACATGAGGTGTAATAACATCATAACTGAGAACAAAAAATTAATACAGTCAATATGAAAAATAAATGAGAAGGAACGATAGAAATTCCGTTGTTGTTGGTTGTTCTGTTTTTTTATAAACATAAGTATGTCATGAGATATGGTTTGAGTTATATGAAAGCATAAGTTCATCAGGAGGTAATATGTTAATGGAGGGACCGTATATCGTGTACAGGTACTTGTACTTGATGACTGGTATTATCGTTTGGAACAACATATGTTTTATCATGCAATTGATCGAGAATGGTGTAGGAGCCAACGAATCGTGGGGAGAACTTGTTGATATGTGGATTTTGATTACGAGCTAAGACAGATTGACCAACAGAATATCGAGGATTCGAACGGTTTTGATCATAACGTTGTTTAGAAGATTGTTTTGTCGAGCCGCAATTTTTGTATACTCAATAAATTGTTACATAGTATGATGATAATGAGAAATAGTATGAGAACTTGATGGAAATGATGAGGATAAATCAGCTACAAAACGAGGTTGACCAGCAAACATTAATTCGAATGGAGTATAACCAGTAGAATCATGTCGAGTAGCATTATAATTAAAAGTTGTAGCGACTAATTTGTAATCCCAATTAGATCGAGATTGATTCGAAAGTGCAACTAAATTAGGTGCTAGAGTTGCATTATGTCTTTCGCATTGATCGTTGGCTTTGGGGTTATAAGGTGTGGTTTTAACATGACAACATTGAGTTAACTTGAGTAGGGATTCATACAACGAAGAAGAAAAATGTGTGCCATTATCAGTAACAATTTCAAATGGAACACCATAGATCATAAAGACATCATATAATAGAAATTTAGCAGCTGTTGTTGACGTATTATCGGGGACGGCTTTGGTGATGACGAACTTCGAAAATAAATCGGTTAGTACTAGAAAGTATTTATTACCGGATTTTGATTGAGAAACAGGACCAACATAATCCATAGCAAGATATTCCCAAACTCCACGAGATGGTTCAATTGGATGTAAATGACCATCAGATTTTCGACGGGAAGGTTTATTCTTTCGACAATTAATACACGATAAAATATGTCGTTCGATATCTTTGTACATATTCGACCAGAAAAAACGGTCGCGTATCTTGTAAAAAGTGCGTTTAATACCGAAATGGCCACCACGGAATGTCGAGTTATGATGCATTAATAATACTTGAGATGTTAAAGAAGCAGGAACATAAGGTAATTGAAGAACATGACCATTCTTTCGAGTAATAATTTTATAAAGGATATTATAATCATCAAGTGTATATTTAGAATTTAATGGTGAAACATTTTTTATTGCCTGGATAGCAGAATCTTGATTTTGATGTAGATTTAATGTATCATGATCGAATGAAATATTAATGTCATTAAGAGATGAAGAAGAAGATACAACAGGTGGAGTAGATCGGGATATCCTAGGTGGTGTTGTTGTAGGAGAAGGAGATGATGAGGAAGTTGTTGTTGAAGGAATAGGAGGTGGATGTTGTCGTATCATTGAATGAGTTGTAACAACATTGACGAAAGATCTTCAGTTTGAGTTGAAGAAGTAACAAGACGAGGTGCATCTTCGTCATTAACATCAGGTTGATTAACTGGATAACGGGAAAGAGCATCAGCAGTTGTACTATCTCTTCCAGGTATATGTTGGATAATCATATTATATTGTTGTAATGTTGTCATCCATTGTTCAATACGAGCATTACGATAAGGTTTTTTCATTAATGATATTAATGGTTTATGATCAGTTTGAAGAAAAAATTGTTGACCTTCAATATATGATCGAAATCTTTGAGTAACACTCCACCAAATAGCTAATGCTTCAAGTTCAATAGCAGAATATTTTTTTTCAGTTGCTTTTAAACTTCACGAGGCAAAAGCAACTGGTTTATAAATTGATGTAGTTGATTTATCTCTATAATCAGGAGGTTGCTTTTGTAATTGTACAGCATCTATACCGGCACGTGAAGCATCTGTACGAATAACATATGGTTGTGAAGGATCAGGTAGAATAAGATCCGCAGGAGAGGTGATAGCGTCTTTTAATTGATCAAATGATAATTGTTCTGCTTCAGTCCATATAAATGGAAAACCTTTCCCAGTAAATTTATTGAGTGGTGCTGATATTTGAGAAAAACGAGGAATAAATTTTCGATAAAAGCCAACCATTTGTAAAAAAGAATGAGCAGCTTTACTGGATTGTAGTAAAGGAAATTGAGTGATAGAACGAATATTATCATTATTAGGTGAACAACCATCAGCATTAATTTTATGGCCAAGAAATGAAATTTCACGTTGAAAAAATGCACATTTATTATAGTTTAATTTAAAATTTGAGGCATGTAATACTTGACATACTTGATTTACGTCTAAAAGATGTTGATCAAATGAAGGGGAATAGACGATAATATCATCCAAGTAAGCGAGACATACATCTCAACGTAATAATCCAAGGGTTTCGTTCATTAATTGTTGAAAAACTGATGGTGAATTTTTTAATCCTTGAGATAATCTGGTAAATTCCCAAAGACCATCAGGAGTTGTAAATGCAGTTTTAGCACGTTTTTCAGGTGCTAAAGGTACTTGAAAGTACCCACTACGCAAGTCAAGTTTAGAAAATATTTGAGATCCATTTTAACGTTCAATAACATCATCGATACGAGGTAATAGATAAACATCTTTTTAAGTAATGGAATTTTAACGCCGGTAGTCTATGCAAAACCTTGGAGATCCATCAGATTTCTTAACTATAACAACAGGAGAAGCCCAAGGGGAATTCGAAGGTTCAATAATTCCATTATCTAACATTTTCTTAACTTCATTATTAATAATTTGTCGCTTAAGGTGTAAGACTCGACGTGGATGTTCAGCTAAAGGAGAATGAGAACCGATGTTAATAGCGTGTTGTGGTTTACAGATAATGCCTTGTAAAAATGAATCATCAAAAAGTTGTTGATAGTGATGTAGCATGAGGGAAAATTTCATTCTCTTGACAGTATCATCGATATGTTCAACTAAGGGAGGAATAGTCTTTGTTGTACCTGTTAAATCTTTATTACAACAATGAAAGAAATGATCATACAATGTTAATTCAGTAGAAAAACGAACACCACAATGGTGACATGATAATAGAGATAAAGATGAAGAAGAAGGATCAGAAAAGTTCATAGGTGATGCATGAGTGACGTTGAGACCCGCTGTTACAGTTGATGAATAGATAAAACCAAGTGGAATATTACGTGGAATGTATCTTGAATGACAAGTATTATTGATAATGGAAATAACACCATGATTATCACGAATATGAAGAAGTGAATGAAGAATTAGGACCATTCTAGCATGTTGTAGAGCAATATTAGGTGTAAATAAGGCATCGTCTAATGATTTAAGAGGTACATAACTATAAATAAATTTTTGATGAAATGGAGGAATAACAACAGAATGTGATAATGACATAATTACTGGTTCACTACGAGATATAGGTAATAAAGGAGTTGAAACAAGACCATTATAAAGATAAATACGATTGGTACAAAAATTAACATTAACATAATTTTTGTTGAATCCAATCACGACCTAAAATCACAGGACAAATAAGATCACGTGTAACATAAGCATCAATATGTGTATCAAGATGATGAATTTGAACAGTAAGTTTCACTATGCCAAGGAGAGATATAAAGCCACTATTGGCATTATGAACTTCTTTTAATGAGCAGGGCATGATGGGTTGGTGTTGCATATTGGATAATGTTTTATCATGAATAAGAGAAATTGCAGCACTAGTATCAACTAAAATTGTAGTAGAGACATGATTGACTGGAACATGAATTGAAGATAATGATAGAGGGAGTGATGGTTTTTTCTTTTTTGTAGAAGTACCACCATCTTGATACCTCTTTAGATGCTTTTTCGATTGGGACAGTATTTGGCAATATGTCCAAATTGATACCATTCATAACATTGACATGAGGCAAGTGATGAAGATGTAGGTTGAGGAACAGAACGAGAAGTTGAAAATGGAGACTGGTTATAAGTGAATATTCGATTCATAAGTGGTTGTGGAGATGATGAAGGTGGTTGCCCATTAGAAGAACGTGTACATGGATTGGTCGATCGTTTCACGAGTGAAACTATCCCGTCAATAGAATCATCATCATCAGTTGGATAAGTATCAGATGAATTGATTGAAGCATGTCGTAATTCATTTAATGTAAGTTATATTTTTTTCTTCATCTTGTGCAATGATAAGAAAATCAGCAGGTGAAGCAGGGTGACGACGAATAACGTGAGGGACTAAAGAGTTATTTAATTCTTTAGTTAAATGATGGAGTATCATCGCCGAGCTCATATTCAAATCAGCTTGTAAACATAATTGAAGTTTATCATGATAATATGTCATAACAGGTTCATTTTAGGTGATTGTCGTCATTTTTCCATTTTTAATAAGATTTGATTAAGTGATGGTTGATAAGCTTTAATAATTTCAGCTTTGAATATGAACCAATCCGTAATACTAGACTTGTTATAACGAAACCAGTTTTTAGCAGCATCAGTGAGATACGATTGTATGGCAATAAATTTATTTGATGGTTGTAATTGTGCTCGATCAAATACTGCTTCCATATATTGTATCCATTTAATAACATCTTCATCTGGAGCACCAGCAAATTTAGAAAAATTTCTAATTTGTTCTTTAGCTAAAGTATTCATAACCTGCTCTTCCATAACTGATAAAAATGCTGGATGATAAACAATGTGATTGAGAGAAAATTCGGAATAATGAGAAAATTCAATATCAATATCAGATAATCGTTTTGTTTCTTGTTGAAATAATTGTTGATAATGTGAATGTGTTATGACCATATAAACAAATGAATGTAATGAATAAGCAAAAGACCAAATTAAATATCACCACGAAGGATTAAATCACCAGAAACAGATAATAATGGAATGAGTAAGTTCAATACGAAAAAAAAATAACAATGATCAGGAATTGATAATAACACGTAATAATCAATAGTAACTTGGATATCAAATGAATGAATGTCGAGTAAGAAACACTAAACAGAATAAACCGAGAAAAAAAACAAGCAAAACTTATCGTAGTCAACGAGGAGTTGTCGACATGGGTCACGGCACCAATTGTTAGTCTGTTGGCTAACCAAAACACTTCTTATCTTTATTTTCTATCTTCATGTTCACAACTACTACTCTTCATTAACAAAATAAAACAGCAGCTGACTATATAGTCACACAACGTAACATGTAAGTCTGTCTAGTGACCAATAGAGAGATAAAAGAAAGAAGAAGAGAGGTAGTGGTGAGAGATAGCGCCACTACCTAACATGATAACAACTAACTGTCACTTTAATTAAGCGAACAGGTTTCATTAAGCACGCGGCTCTTCAATATAATTTGTTTGCGCATTTTCTTCTTGATTGGATTTTGGTATGTCACTATAAATAAGTAATTTATGCATAATATGAAAGAGAAAAACACATGCATGTGTTTTTTTCTTTCATATTATGCATAAATTACTTGTTTATAGTGATAAAAAATATCTAATCACGAAAGAAATGCGCAAACGATAATCAAATTGGAGAGCCGTGTGCCCAATCAAACCTGTTCGCTTAATTAAAGTGACAGTTGGTTGATATCAGAAAGACAAAAAAAAAGAAAGACCGAAAAAATATGAAAAAAAGTAGATACTGATCATTATTTACAGTACGAATTGATCTAATAAGCATAACATATTCGATCAGCGTTCGAAATGTAAGTGTGTTTTCGTTGTATTTAAAATATGAACAGTGATATATTTTAATTCTAATTATTTCTGGTATTTTATCAGAGAGCTTGTAAATAGTATATTTGAAAAGATAAAGCAATTATTATAAGTATAACTAATCGGATAATTGATAACCAAGGTCACACGACTTTTTATTTTTAAAAATAATATCTTCTACGATTTATTGAACATGATTATAGTAAAGAAATTTTTATGACGAAATCCGATTGTTACGATGCACAAAATATTCATTGATTGTATTCATTTTTTATTGGGTTGGCAAGAAAGTTTTTCGTCTTTTTTATATTACTAAGATAATACAAAAAAGACGCAAAACTTTCTTGGCAACCCAATAATTATGGAAGATTTTTCATAGTGACCTATACTTTTATAGTATCGCTAAGCTCGTAGAATCGATTGATAATTCTGAATAGTATGTATGAGATACAGAGACCAATTCATTTTCATTTATAAGATAAATATTTTGTTGTAGATTGAAATACAAAAAGTTTTAAGAGTGAATTAGATGATACATTTTTTCTATCGTAACATGCATTTGATAGTGATCAATTATGAGAAATGAAACCATTAGGTTTATGGTTATCTTCGATGTAAATGTTCATGAAACTACACCATCACTTTACTATACATATGGATCTATTTGAACAGACCATAAATGCGCTCCCTAGTAGAATATCTTGTAAGCAAGATCTTGGCCAAGTTACTAGGCACAGAAAAGTGAACAGATCTTGAAAATTGAGATACAAGATAATACAACAATATCTTGTACCAAGATCTTTTATTAGATCTTCTATACAGTATATATGTTTCAAAAGCTGATATCGTAATTCATGCTGAAATACTTGTAAAGACTTTTCAAGCAGTCTATCGCATGTAAAATTTCATACTGATTTTGCATTTGTAAACAGAATTTAATTAAAATCACGGTGAAATAAAATAGACTCTTACTTTTTATTCGAAAACCTTCCGAAATCGTTAACTTCTGGACTAACACCGAATAAAAATTTTGTTTCCTGAGTTATTTCAGCATAGTGTAGTTCTAGAAAGTGTAAAATTAATCTCCAACAACAATTAAGAGCTGAAGATCTTGTTGCAAGATATATATAATATTTTGAAACGATTTTTTTAAAGATCTGCTAGAACTTAGTTCATTGAACTGGTAGTGGATGAAAATAGACGAAATTCTTCGAAATAAATTTTTTTTTTCTAAAATGAAGCATGAAAGCAGCATAAATTGTTTCTGTTAACATGACGCTATTACTACATTAATCCATATTGGATCAATTAGAGTTTATATAATCAAGCGGTTTCAATTGTGTTCAGATGATTCGTTTTTCGAAGATCGATGTTAATAAGATTGGTAACCTTGTATTGCATGGACTACTATTAATACAACCTCAGTTTTAGGAAACTTTTTAGTATTACCGCGGCATCAAAATTAAGACTTATGAGAATATATCATTAAAATAAAAATAATACTGAATATGCAATGCAATCATTAAGTCAAATTCAATATTTTAAACTCTATTATTTATGTTGGAGAAAGAATGAAACTGAAGAGTATATCTTAACATCTAATAGAAATATCCAAGAAGTGAAATTACTGTAGTGCATTCAGCTGAAATAGCAAAAGCTAACAATTGATACTTTATTGAGATACAGAAAGAAGAAATTTATTCTCCTAGATTTTTCGTTTCTATCACTATAGGAAATGATTCTATTTTGTAGTTTTCAAAAATTACCACTTATCAACAGTTATGAAAACGAAAACGTTGAAAAATGGAAAGCAAGCATCAAGAGAAGATAATAACAGTTCAAATCACCAACCAGCAGTCGAGCCGAATAAAAGACACATACAAAGTGAAAGAACTAGAGACCAAAGTCAGATGAATATTTCTGATGATCATCAAGGAACAGCACACAAAAATCACAAGACTAAATCGAAAGAAAAACAAATGCAAATCGATATTGAATTTCAAAATCAACCAGTCCGCACATCTTATACATCAGAAGTAGAATTTGATGAAGAAACGTCTATTGATAATCAAGAACAAACTATAAAACAAGCCGAACAGGTTGATGTTGCGACTAATAGGTCCACTAAACCAAAGCATCGAGTTTCAAAGACAATCGGTATAAATGAAATTCTACCAAATCCTAGCGAACCGATTACATTTGAAAATGACCCATCCCCGATCATTGGATATGCTGCTGAGCCTATATTGCCACTTCCTCTGGCATGTGCTCCACTCTTTGATATTCTTTATAATTTGGTGTTTTATGTTCAGTTGGCACTAGATGAAACGCCCGAAAATCCACCAAATGGTTTAACAGTTCATGAAAGTGCTGCAATTCGTCTATATACTCTCGAATGGGAAACACCACATAAAAGTCTCTATTCAATGCTCAATTACACTCTTAAAAGTAGCAATCGTGAAGAACTTCGACCTTATTTCAAGTATATGAAATTATTCTTGACTGCACTAGCTAAAATTCCGTGTGAGCCAATTACAACTGTTTGGCGTGGAGTTAAAAAAGATTTGAGTGCAGAATTGCAACCTGGTACTTCACTGACATGGTGGTCATTTTCTTCATGTACAAAATCACTGACTGTACTCGAGAATAACATGTATTTAGGCACTGAAGGAGAGCGAACTCTTTTTTCTGTCGAAGCCATCAATGGACGAATAATAAGCGATCATTCACATTTCACCACAGAAGATGAAGTTCTTCTTCTACCCGGCACTCATATGGTAGTTGTATCTCACTTGGTTCCATCACCTAACCTTTATATCATTCATTTGAAACAAGTTATACCAGAGGAAACCTTGTTGGAACCTCCATTTAAAGGTAACACCATAAAGATTTTCAGATTCATGTTGAAAAAATACCAGATATTTCTATTTTTTAGGCGCACTTCTCTATCCAAAGCCCGAGTGAGTTTTGCTTCATGTCTAATCAAAGATTCTTTTTACAGCAAAGAGTTGTGATTATATGTTTAGGCGGCCCTGGTATAAAAAGAAGCGATATGTTCTACCCTTATGCTTATTTATAATTCTATCGATCACAGCGATTGTTATTGGTGCTGTTCTTGGATCACGAAAGACAAACGAAATTCCAAGTATGCTTTGTTTTTCTAATATTATTCTCATTAACATTTAAAATCAGGCATCATACTCTAATTTATATCAGCCATAGATCAAAGAGATACTAGTGACCAGTTAATCCATTCGGATCTGGTATCGATTTCACTGATCTAGCGGTCCAAACCAGTTCATCAGATAATAGCACTTGTTTCTATATTTGTGGAAATAAATTCCAAGAGAACATTGTTGAGCAATTTTCATGAGAAACAAAATCAATAAAATTACCGTTCTAGGTAAATTTGTAACAGAGAGAAACGTTGTTTCATGGGTAGTTCAGCCTCCATCAGTAAGTAGACTGTTAAAACGACACCATTATTGTTCTGAAAAAAACTAGATCGGCTTCATCTAAGGTTGAAAGTTCTGGCATTCAATTATTCGTAACTTTCGGTGACCGATTCGCATCAGGTTCTCTGGACTTTATGCGCTATGAAGAGTTTATAAAGAGATAAATGTTTTTAAAAACACCATATAGAATCTCTGTGGATCTGAGCAATACATAAATATTAATTGACACACAGATGGACAGTCAGTGACCTACCTACACCCAAATCCAAATCACTAAGCACATGCAAAGCTTCATGAATGTCTACCACCATAAGAAAGTTTTTCTATATGATGATTCTGACATTATCAGGCGTACTTCTTCTATAAGAAAATAAAAATCATCAGAAGTTTATTTTCATCTTTCATCTAAGAATACAGAAGTAATCTTAACATGATTTTTCATTCTGAAACGTAAAATTTGTGAATATTTTACGAAACTGCAGCAATTTTTCAGATCAGTAAAACTGAATATGGTGCACAATGATAAAATCCGATCTAGATAAAACTTCACTTGTTTTCATTTCGACTCGTATATTTTGATATTATTTGACAGCCGAGTTATTCTACAAAATTGAGTACTAGGCGGAAGCAAGTAGGAGAAGAATTGATACTATTTAATTCTGTTTTTCTTGTAGAGATTATATGCAAAGATCCATATTCATTACGAAGTGTCTCTAAGACTGGAAAAACACCGGTTGCTTTAACATTTGGTGATTTTAGAAATCAGGACATAATCGATCTAGCAGTGCTTAACTATGATGAACAAAGTGTTGATTTTCTTCTTGGTAATTCCAAGAATACGTATGAGACTGAAATTATCTATGATACAGGTTCTGCTCCAAGTTTTATATTCACTGGTGATATAAACGGCGATGAATTGCCTGATATTATAATAGCGAATGAAAACGATGGAACAATAAGTGTGCTTCTTGATAATCCAGATGATTCATTTCAATCAACGACCACTTATCAAGTTGGTCAAAGACCTGTGTCAGTGACAAGCGCTGATTTCACTGGTAACGGTGACTTTGATGTCATAGTCGTGAACTATGGTGATAATACTCTTCGATTGTTATTTGGTACGGGAGGTCGATTTTCTGAAATATATATTAATATTGCAGTTGGTCTGCAACCAATCTGTATCATATCAGGTGATTTTAACTTGGATGGGAGAGTTGATTGGGCAGTTGTCAATAACGGAGATAATACTATAAATGTGGGCATCGCACGTGGATTTGGAATTTTCGAAACTTCACAGATTTATAAGGTTGGTCACCATCCAGTTGCTATTACAACCACGGATTTAAATCATGATGAAATATTAGATTTGATTGTGGCAAACTATGGCGATAATAGTGTAAGTGTGTTACTCGGCATTGATGACGGAACGTTTCAGGCTCAAATATCTTACGATGTTGGTATTGGTCCTAATGCTATTGCTACAGCCGATTTCAATAATGATTTACACATGGATATAGCATTAACTCTTTTGAATGAATCTTCCGTAAGCGTGCTCTTCGGAGATGGTAATGGAGGTTTTCGAAGTCCTAACAAGTTTAAAGTCGGTAGTTCTCCCAATAGTCTGACAGCAAACGATTTCAACAGAGATCATAAAATAGATGTAGTGGTGACTAATTCTGGAGAAAACACCTGGATGATATTGATTAATATGGGTAATGGAACATTTCAAAGTGGCTTCCACTATGCTAGTGGTTTGAATCCGGTATCGATCGGTGCAGCTGATTTTAATGTCGATCAATTCATTGATGTAATGGTAATCAATAAAGGAGATAATACTGCTTCTCTAGTACTATGCAATGGAGATGGTACTTGCCGCTGTCGAGTACCCTACAGACTTAAGATGCAAAGCACTTGGATGGCAACAGGCGATTTCAACGGAGACAAGAATTTAGATCTGGTATTGACAAATGCAAACAATCAGAGTATTAGCTTAATTTTGGGTAATGGATATGGTACCTTCCATCCTGAAATATCATATCAAATTAATGTTTCGTCGTCTTTCATAGTAGCTCATGATTTGAATAATGACATGAACCTAGATCTAGTTATTGTCGTCATGATAAATGATAGCGTTATTATTATGTTGGGTAATGGAGATGGTACCTTTCGAAATAGAACAAAGTTGAGAACTGGTACTCAACCATCTTCTGTAGCAATAAATGATTTCAACAACGATCAAATACCAGATCTAGCCGTGAGCAATCGTGGCACTCAAACTATCAGCATCTTATTAGGGCGTGGAAACGGTAATTATCAGTTCCACAAGATGTATGAGTGTGGTGTTAATCCGAATTCTGTTATATCAGCAGATTTCAATCTTGATCAAAACATGGATCTTGCAGCAGCCAATATGGGTGAAAATAGTTTCAGTATTTTATTGGGTACAGGCAATGGAACTTTTCCAGGTCATATTAGATATCTTGCTGAAAGAGAGCCAGTTATTATAATGTCGAACGATTTCAATGTTGACAACAATACCGATATAGCAGTAGTCAATCGACTTTCGAATAATGTAGAAATATTCTTTGGTGGAGTAAATATGACATTTTCAACTATAAAACACTATGGAACAAATAATCAACCAGGCCCTGCAGTTGCCTATGATTTTAATAAAGATGGGAAGGTTGATCTTGCTGTACTGCACACACTTTCTAACGAATTATATGTTTTTCTCAATCAATGTTCATAAGTACTCTTACGAGGACTATTGAGAAGTGTATTCGTTGATGATTCATGAACTAAGTGAAACAACAATAAACTATGTTATTTTTAAAATAAAATATTAAATATTAAAAACAGTGTTACAGTGATGTCGCATGTATACATATTCATTATTTATTGTTAACCTCTATTTTCTTTCATCTCTTTGATTCTTTAATTGGTTCTTTTGTTTTCTCGTTTTTCATATATATATCATCTATATCGTATATGTATTCAGAATTGTTTCTTCGATTATATAATAAAGTTGCTCACGTATATCAAGGACATACGTGAAATCGTATACATATACATACAAGTAACGCTCGTCTGTGTGACTCGCTTGACCTTCGACTGAATATTTGATTGCTTCGGTATTTTTTACTACTTTACACCCCCTTTAAAAGCTAGCAGCTGATGTTTGAACAAAGTTGCACTTGAATTCGGACATGATTATACGCATCCTGTCGGCGTGTACAAAGCCATGCGTGTCTTTCTGATACGGTTTGCCATACAATTCATCCACTGAAACTGACACTCAACGAATAATACTCAAAGAAAATCTATATGAGGCATACTAAGACAGCAATATCCACAGGCCCCGAAAAAAGAAATTATTCAATTTGCAGAGAGAACTAACAAAGAAAGCATATCTGCGCACACTAGCATAAAAATACACTATACGTCTCGGAAACTCTAATAAAATTCCTTATAGTTACCAGCACATAAACTGGCAATATCATTTGTCAGGGTCCACTACAAAAATGCCTGTTTAGTGGGACTTTCAGATTAAAATAGATCACATTTTATCAAACCATACTCGGTATATGCCAATTGAGTGAGACTCGTACTCAAAGTCGTCGTTGGATTAAACGGTTGATTCAAAAATACCCAAAGAAATTTAGACAAGTGAATGTACAGAAACAAGGATATATAAAGACAGAAAAACTCATTCGATTTCATTCAAATCTACTTCGAATGAATTTATGTAAATTGTTTAATTGACGTTTTCCATCAAATGTTCTCTTCCGATACTGAGCACGTTCAGCACAACTGTTCTCACACTTCATTCGAACATACTTGTTAGCTTTTTTGCCAGTTCTCGTTCCCATTAAAACTAGTAAGGTCTCAACAGTAGACATTCTGCCGATGGATTCGAAGTGTCTGAAGATTCTTTCAAGGAATTTCGCACGGCAGCGGTTAGTCGCTTGTCGGTGCCCCTTCGGGGCGCCACTCGCGGCTAACCGCTGCCATGTATCATTGTGGTTGGGTATATGATCATGTGCTGTCATTTAAACTCTACCAGATTCGAGATTCTGCTTAGTCTCAAAAGTCGTTAGAATTATAACATGAGAATTCCCCATGAAAAATTCCAAAGCCGAAACCTTGTTGTGAACTAGTCCTTATGCCTTTAATTTCATTGCCTAGCTAGCCAACCTGAGGTTTAATGGAATTCCTTATCAAAAGAATCTTAGTATATTATTCCCCCACAAAGCTAGCTTTATATAGATCATGTCGGAAACCAACCAATAGTGAAACTGAAATAGGTGCGACTATAATCGGTTGTCGGCGCCCTTCTGAGGCACCACTCACGACTAGTCGCTCCATTATTTCAAAACACCTAAGCAATAGCTAGTTATTCTCCTTTTACCATAAACAATTTTCACATCATTTTTACCTTTTGTTTATATTATCTTCTTCGAGTCATAGTGGCGAGAAATTCTGCGAGTCAAAAGTTATGGTGAAAAACAAATGCAAATAATGGAATATTAAACCAGAGAAAACCCAATGCGAGCAGGGTTACAGGCGGATCATGCTGAATGGAATTAAACTTGAGTTTGGGTCTGAGGGACATTTTTTAGTCGGGGTGTTGATCGGAGGTCCAAACAGGCCACCGGACCTGCCTGCCTGGGACAAGCACAGGCCTTGTTTCTCAAGCCTGTCACAGGCCAGGCGGGCAAAGGGCGAGATTTTACACAGGTCAGATAGGCTGCCTAAAGTAGCCAGGCGGCCTGCCTGTTATTTTTTTTCCTAAATTTTCAATAAAAAACTTCATTTTTGAGCAGAAAATGTAGATATCAAAATATAACATGAAGAATCTTTGCCCTAGAAGATGAAAAATGTTTTTTTTTTATCAGTTTGACTCGGCACAATGATGACCATTAATAGATTTTGACTACATTGCTTATTGTCCATTCATTTATTTAGTATATTTATCCGTTTCGGTAAGTTACTGCTCGCACTTTTTAATTGGTTATTATTAAAACTTTACATAAAGCGTTTACGAAGTCTTATGTTCTTGACTCATATTTATACTGTCGTAATATGATCGCACTTAATATGCACTCTTCAGCCAGTTTATCATATTCATTCAAAAGATTTTTACTCAGATACAGTTTTTTTTTCTAAATGTTGTATTTTCTTTTTTGTCTTTACTCAACAGTTGCATACTGCATTAAACCAGTAGATCTTTCTCTTAATCATGTTATTTTGATGCCATTAACTTCCTTGTCTTCTTATAAAGACAGTTTTCTATTTCCGCTCAATTATTATCCTAATATTAGTATGTAAAAAAAGACACAGGCCTCAACAGGCAGGCCCATAAAAACGACAGGCAGGCAGGACAAGCCGACGAAAACAGACGACAGGCGCAGGCAAGTTGAAGAGGTTCATAGCCTGTCATGAGCAGGCTAGACCTACGAAAAAGTAGGCCTGCTTAGATCTCTGGTGTAGATGCCGGTATAGCTATGTGTCTGAATGAGTTCATCTTGTGTTGCTTTACACCTGTATCTACCACCCACACCGTGGAAAACTCTCAGATAAAATTAACGTTAGTGAGGTTTTCAAGCCTGTAATCCCACAAACACATCTCAATAAGTTACTCTCTCAATCATTGGCAGATTACAAGCTCATTATATTTCATACCACTCAATGTTCGGTACACTGAAAACTCATTGTTTCCCTCACAAAAGTTACCCTGCTTATAAAATTAAAGCTGTGAACTTCTAGCGGAATACTAAACATTTTGGTGTCCAGACGTCAATTTAGGCTCGTCAACTTCTCTGAAACATCGTTTATTTTCTCAAAGCCACTTATCTTTTGCCGAACAAGTCAAACTCAACATTTTGAAGAAACGACTTGCGTTTCACATTCTTCGACCTGACCTTACTGTCGTCCACCTCTTTCACATGTAAAGTCCTAAATCAGATTCAGAATCCTAGCCATCGATAACCTACAGCAAAGCTTCATCAAACGCCAAAAAAAGATTAAAATAAAAGAATCGGATTTTTGATTGATCGGCTTCCTAGCCTATGGGAGGCCCAGATGTGAAATCTAACCTCAGATTCGGATTTGCAGACCTTAATTACTTTCGATAAAACTTTAGAACCTATGCCTATATAAACTTCAACTCTGATGTTATTTTGACCTTGCCAAGAACACACCCACCCACACACAAATAAACGTAATTTATTACATATGACCCTCCTTTCAGTCGAGAGAACAAACAAATCGGATTGAATTAAATGTGAGGATCTCCAATGACGTAAATCTGCGAAACTAAAATCATAACTTACAATGAACATTGCAAATAAGACTAAAAACTTCGAATCGTTTCTAGAATTCCAAGCTTCCTTGCCGTGTTCTAGAATCTTCACTAGCAAAAAAGGACTTTCAGCGGAAGTCGACCTCAAAATAAAGCATTTTATAGAATTCCTACAATTGCAATACGTGTATTGCATTACTCTCATACGCAAAGCACTCATGAGATTAAGCTGTAAATCGTTGTATATTCCAAAGCATATTGACGTCTGAGCGCACACAAACAATAACAAATATCAGCTGAAAAGCTCACTTGATATCACTCAAATCTGGTTCCGATTGAGCGAATCTGAATTCTTTGAGTGACATTTCATTTCGATTGCAGCATTCAGATATAGTACATGTGCAGAAAAACTGTTTTCACACTTGGAAAAAATTTCTCTTTTTTATACTTCTCGTCAGTTATGAAATCACCCGGATCTAGACTCGAGGCACTTTTTCTACGAATCCTAACGCCTTGGAGCATTTCTTCAGTAAAATTTATGGAACAGCAGCTAATCGCTCGTCGACACCCCGATATGGCGCCACTCGCGGCTAGCCCCTACCATTCTTGAATTCACACTTCTAAATGGCTACTCTTTTATCGAAGACCTGACTGTTCCGGACTCCAACTGTTTCAAAAGCTTTTCTACTCGTAACTAAAGAGTACTAGATTTTCTACATCAAGCAAAACATCTTCTTGTTACATTCTCATTGTCTCTCGAATTTATCGATGTTTGTAGAAGTCCCGCTCTACATAAACTATCACTAATTAAGTCTAACTGCCACATTCTCAAGCATTGTTCTAGATGTTAGGAAGGAATGTCTTAAAAGATCGCTCGTGTTAACCTGCTTTGACAGCAGCTAGTCGTTCGTCAGCGCTCCTTCGGGGCGCCACTCACGACTAGCTGCTGCTCTTCTTAAGTTCACACTACTAAATGACTAATCTTTTATTCTGAATTAAGCAAAGTCTGCTGTTGAAAATTTCTACCTAAATATTGAATTATTATAAGAAGATGCCTGACTGATATTGGAAAATTTTCTGCCCTGTGAGTAAATATCCCTTGGAAGAATGCGCTCCACTTTCACCGAATAAATCTTCGGTATGCACAAACAACTCACAATTGAACTTTAATAGAAAAAAAACTCGTGGACAGCAGAGAATTCACAGAGAGTGTGGGTGAATGTGGGTGTGGGTACGGGTTTAGCTGAGGAGGCAATAGCATATTCACACCCACACTCCACATCCACAAACCCACACCCACACCCACACCCTAAAATTTTAAAGAAAAAGTAAAAAGTTATACGATTACGTTCAAATGAAAATGTTGAATAAAACCATAGTGGCCCCATTATACTTAAATCTTGATGTACATGTAATAAAGAATGAATATTCGAACTCATATGACGCATACCAAATATTTCTTGAAAACATTGAACGAAATAATGTAATAATTTTTCAACAATTTCAATAGTTTCATCTGTTACATAATTCGAAGATGCAAGATTAATTGCTGCTACCAATGAAAATAATAGATTTTTCAATCGAATATCATTAATATGTCGAACAAGACTTGTTAAACCAAAATGAAATAAACATCGATATTCACTTCCTTTATATTTATTAATAATTTTTAATGAACGAAATCTACGTTGCGTTGTTGATGGTGTTTGTACCAATGTTAACGATTTATCTATTTGTGTTATTTTCTCAAATAAAGACCAAGATTCATTTCGGTATTCTGAATGGAATAAAAGTTTCAAAAGCTGCTTGAATGCACCAGCATATATTGTATGAAGAGAATCCGTGAGAAAAGACGTTCCATAATGAAAATATTTTAATTTGACTAATGGACAAGAACCTGTTAAAAAAATAAATAATTTATGTTATTCTTTTTAAACTCAAAGAGTAACGAAAACTATTCATATACTTCTTCTGGATTGTATTGTCGAAGGCAAATTGTCATAATTAAAGATACTTTATTTCGTATGAAATTCTATTCGAAAAATAATGATTCAAACGTTTTAAGTTATTAAATCAATATTTCTGATACTATCAAGTTTTTCTCCCAAACTATTTTTCGATGAAAAACTGATCATAATATTTAATCAACTAATATTGGAGAAAATCTTACCAATATGACCATAATGAGCTATTTTTTTCTTTGTCGTTTTTATCAGTACAGTTTTCTTCAATACAGTTTTCCTTTTGATACAGCTTGAATTATTATTGATTTGATTTAAACGATTAGTTAATTGTTCAACGATTTGAGTGCATTTTCCTTGTGTACGAAGCTCACATTCAACAATGGATAAACACGTATTGTAAAGGAAACAGTATTAGCACCAGATCGTCTTTGACCACGATATGATTCACCTATAAAAATAAGTTATTTACAACAAATTCTCGAACAATATAAATAACTGAAATATTTTTATTAAGATTTACTTCAATATATTTTGTAAGCTTGGGGCTAAGCTGGATGCTACCAAGCGGGTCCACAGGTTGCGGATAGTGGAACGGCCATTAGTATAATGGTTAGCTGCGAATAAGACCAAGCAATTGCTCAAATAAGCAGTCCCGGACAATACTCAGCCTTCTTGCCAACAGGGTGTGGTGGAGTTTTGACTGGCACCAAAACCCCTATAAAATGCCACAGAAACCCAAAGACGACAGGATGACAGGGCGAGTATAGGCCGCCAGAAACAAGGTTCCTTCCGAACCAAGCTTCAAAAGCCTTAGCCAGGGTAGGTGGAGCTCTCTAGCCTTAAATGGTAGTCCACCTAAGAGAAGGAAAACTCTGATTCAAAACCAAGGGTGGACGAGGCTCTTAGCCATGATAGGCAACTCGTCTAGGAGAGAAAACTCAGATGACAAACACTCACCAACCCGCCTAGCCAGCGTGTTTTATTGGCTACACAACCCCCCATGAAAACACAAATACAAAAAATTGATGCCGGCTCGGTCGTCGCCCGGATTAACAAGGACCGCGTTTGTGATTTCGGCAGTGGGTCACAAATGATAAATTGGCTACAGATGCCAACCGACAACAACAAAAACAACAAACCAAATAAAAGAAATAAACAAAGTCCCAAATCTCCAAGTTTATTAAATATGCATATATGCACCTACAACATAAGAACTTTCAGAGAAGAAGAAAAAAGAAAAGAATTTGAAGAAGAAATATCAAAAATAAAATGGGATGTAATAGGACTAAGTGAAACAAAATGTAAGGGCGAACATCTAATAAAACTAAAAAGTGGTCACACACTTTACACATGTGGAAACGCCAATAACAACAAAAATGGCGTAGGATTCTTAATAAATAAAAAGATTACAAACCAAATAATCAGTATAAAAGGCATAAACGACAGACTAGCTCAACTAATTCTAAAAATAAATCAAAGATATAAAATGAAAATAATCCAAGTTTATGCACCAATAACAAGCCATGATGACCAAGAAGTTATCGAAATCTATCACGAGATCGAAAACTTACTAAATGAAGACAAAACTTATTTCACCATTATAATGGGTGATTTCAATGCGAAAATTGGCAGAAAAGAAAATGATAAAGAAATAGCTATGGGAGAATTTGGAATAGGAAACAGAAATGATAGAGGCAAAATGCTAATTGACTTCGCACTAAAAAACAATCTACAAATAACAAACAGTTTCTTCTACAAAAAACCCCATAGAAAATGGACCTGGAAAGGACCAAACAACTCTGTGAAAAACGAAATTGATTTCATTCTAACAAATAAAAGACACATTTTCAAAAACGTTGAAATTCTAAACTCAATCAAAACAGGAAGCGACCATAGAATGGTTAGAAGTAAGATAAATATAAATACTAAAATTGAAAGAAGGAAATTATTCGTTACAAAGGAGCCACAGATAAACAATGACATACTCAAAATAAAGAGAAAAGAGTTTGAAATCAAAATTGATCAAATAATAAAAACACAAATAAACACCAAAAAAATGAACTTAAATGAAATAAATCAGACTCTAACGAAAATAATTGTTAATACTGCAGAAAAACTTGCAAAGGAATCACCTAAAACTCAAAATACTTTCAAATTATCAGATGGAACACGAAAATTAATTGAAAAAAGAAGAAAACTACATACAAATACAAATACAAATCATATTGAATTAATAGAACTAAACAAAACAATTAAGAAAAAAATACGATTAGAAAAACGAAGTCACAACTCAAAAATCATCCAAAATACAATTGAAAATAATAAAAGCTTAGAAACAACTTGGAAAAATATTGCAATTGGACAAAATCAAATTATTTCCTTAAAAGATAAAGATGGAAATATTTTATATGATAGATATAAAATAAGTAATAGAATCAAGGAATTCTATGAAGAACTATACGACACAAGGATATCAAATAAGACAAACAAAATACAAAACAACTATGAACAAGAAAATGATATTCCTGATATAATATTAGGTGAAATAGAAATGGCACTTAAAGCAATGCCAAACAACAAGGCTCCAGGTCCAGACCACATTACTACCGACATGATAAAATATGGAGGAACAAACGCCCTAAAAACTATTCAAGAACTTTTTAACAAATGTTTAAAAGAAAAGAAAATACCACAAGATTGAAATAATGCAAATGCTATTCTCATATACAAAAAAGGAGATCATACTGATCTAAAAAATTACAGACCAATTAGCCTTCTCTCACATCTATATAAACTATTTACAAAAATTTTAACCAATAGGTTAAAAAACAAACTAGAAAAAATAGAAGATAGAGAACAAGCAGGCTTTAAAAAAGGATTCTCTACTATAGATCGCATCCATACTCTAAACCAAATTTTGGAAAAAACAAAGGAATTTAATTTACCACTCTGTATGGCAGTCATAGATTATGAAAAGGCTTTTGATACTTTGGAAAAACCAGCAATCATAGAAGCTTTAGAAAATCAACACATCGAAAAAGGCTATATTGATCTAATTAAATACATATACGATAATGCTAAAGCCTCTATAAATTTCCATAATATTGAAACAAATATAAAAATAAATAGAGGAATAAGACAAGGAGATACTATGTCCCCAATTCTCTTCATTACATGCTTAGAAGATGTATTTCGAAGATTAAACTGGGATGAAAAGGGGATAAAAATATGTGGAGAATATCTAAACAATCTAAAATTTGCTGATGACATTGTACTATTTGCAAATGACTTAAAAACTCTACAAGAAATGATAGAAGATCTCCAAAACGAAAGCATAAAAGCAGGCCTAAAAATCAACATAGATAAAACAAAAATTATGATCAACGACCACATAAAAGATAACAAAATAATAAGATTAAATAACAAAGAAATTGAAAAAACCAACACTTTTGTATATCTAAGTCAAACAATAACATTAAATAGAAATACCGAAATAGAAATCAATAAAAGAATATCACAAGGATGGAGGCAATTCGGTAAATTAAATAAAATATTCAAAGCAGACATCCCACTATCCCTAAAAAAGAAAACATTCGATCAATGTGTACTCCCAGTAATGACCTACAGGTCAGAAACGTGGAGCATAACACTAAAATCAGAAAAAAAGCTCGCAATTGCTCAAAGAGCAATGGAAAGAAATTTGCTGGAAATAAAAAGAACAGATAAAATCAAAAACGATCAGATAAGAAAACAAACAAAGCTGATCTATATAACAAAAACAATAAAAAGAAATAAATGGAGATGGGCAGGTCATGTTGCTAGACAACATGACAATAGATGGACCAAGCTTGCCACAGAATGGCAAGTAATAGACGGGAAAAGAAAACCCGGAAGACAAACAACAAGATGGAGAGATGAAATTCTTTCTTTCTTAGGGAACGGCTGGAGCACTCAGGCTCAAAATAGAGAAGAGTGGAAAAACATGGGAGAGACCTTCGTCCAGCAGTGGACGGTACATGGTTGATAAATGATGATGATGATGATATTTTGTAAGGTGATTAATAGAATACAAATATCAATGAAAATATATACCAGCATGAAAACATTTTGGACATCCGTATTCAGCATTGTATGGAACGACATTTGCCAGTAATGCTTCAGCTGGTTTATTTGAACAACTTGCTATATTGTAAAAATGAAGAACTGCTCGTTGATCAAGTTCATTTATAAAAATTCTTGTCCTAATTCTAATTTAATTAACTGTTCATATATAAGTTGTAAACATGTTTGAACAACATGATTAGTTGGTTTTTTGCCGGTTGGTATGATACCAGCTATAAGAATGTTTTGTAAATATCGACGCTGTGGAATATGTAATTCATTAAATATCATAGTAAATGGCCATTGGCGGGCCAAGTAGCGCTATATGAGCTGGTAACCGTGTGGCAATTGCCACACGGTTACCAGCTCAGGTGGCGCCAAAAGAGCGGTGTCCGGCCCGCCACTGTAAATGGCCATAATGATAAATTATTATTTCCAGTAGTTACTCCATCAAGATTAATCATCAATGTAAACGCATTATCTTCTATTTCTCGGAGAATTTCTCCATATTTAGTACTTGAGAATAAATAAATATTATTAAGTTTCTCTTCTTTTAATTTAGGGAAAAAACCAAACATTGATAATAATTGTTGAATTTGTTGTTTGATAGAGCATAAATAAAATTTGAAGATTAATGTATCATTGCAAGATATACATTTAAACATAGAATTTGAATCATATGCACCACAATTGGAACATATTCTGTAAAATTTGTAAAATTTATTTAGATCAAAACCTGGATGAAGCTGCTGTTGAACAGCTTTCATACTCTTTGGGAAAAGATTCATGAATAAAGCATTAAATAATTTACAAAGTGAATCAATATCTTTATTGTTTTGTAAACGTCTCACTTTATAAATCATAACAGCAACAGCAATATCAGGAGATGTTAGTAATAAACGACGATTATATTCTAGAAAAATATATCATAATAAATATGATATTTAGATAGTTGTACATCTTAAAAAGTTGCTTTTAAAAAAGAAAAAAAAAAGAATCGTTCTGCTTCATTGTGCTATAAATATTTTATTAGTGATATCTGTACCAAGAAAATACTTACTAAATGATAAATCATTGATTGATTTGAAAGTATCGTTCAAATCATCCTTATTTATTATTACTGTTGCGGGATTCAATTGTGTTGATTCTAAAAACAAAACATGTTAATATATGAACTGGTAATTACTTTCAGAAATTTTAAAGAAAATTAAAAAAAGACTACTGAAGTTTTTGAGTTAATATCGTAAGTAAATAGGACAGTAGAAAACCCGATCATACCATTCTGTTCGTCGGAAAATTTTTGAGCATCTGTTGTAACAGTAGTACCTAACAGACATACTGTTTAAAACCAAGAAAATGATAGCTAATGATAACTTTCGTACTTTTCCTTGATTGATTTGATGGTAAAATTGTTCTTTTGCAACAATTGTTATGCAGGAGATTGTTTCTGCGACGATAATGCGTAGCATGAGAAGGCATCTACAAAACAGCATGTTAAAATTCTTTTCTCCGATTTCAATGAAGCAGTACAATTTGATGATGTTAATAGGAGGACTATTAACAATGCATCAGAATTAATTTTTTGATTAGTTTAAAAAATGATTTTTTTAAGTATTAGAATAATGAAACAAGAAAATATTTGCTATTAAAACAACTTTTACAATAATTTATTCTTTTTGTCTAGATCACTACTTTTATTTGTCATCTAATTCTAATTTTTTATCAAAGGTTTAATCAATCAGAACAAATGCTATTTCTAAAATAAAACTATATTCTAATAAAATGTTCTTGAATCAGAATAAAAAGCATCATTTGTATTTGTCATTCAGAATCAAAATTTTCAATTAAAACTTCCTTTGGTGACGATGAATGTTGTTGATGTTCAGTACAGTTTTTGTTTTTCGAATATTTCTGGTGCTGCTTCTTTGTCGAAGCTGTTGATGAATTTTCTTTATTTTTAACTTGATCAACCAAATGTCGACTGCGAAGCGAAATTGCACCAGAAAATTCGCTTTGTGTAATGATTTTAGGAGCATGAACATATTGAACATATTCTATTTAATAAAAAATAAACAACGAAATCAAGTTAAAATAATTTTTTCCAGTACAGAAAAATAAGATATACTATAAATATTGTTCATTAATTCAGAATTTCTTGCTTTCAACTTTGTGTAACATTGGCCTTTTAAATCAATACCTTTGTAGCAACATTTAACCAAATTGTTGATAGTTCTTGACGAGTTAGTACTTTTCGCCTCCTTCAATTCAATTTTTGAGCAAGGAAGTTTTTCTCCTAACTGAAAAAAACAATTTTTTCAGAAATAATTCGTTATTTATTTTACCTCAACCAATTTCTCATTTAATTCGGCTTTTCTTTGTTCATATGTATCAATTATCAATTTAAGATAATTGTACGTATGTTTATCCGGTAGACCTAAAATAAACAATTAAGTATTATGGACCACAGGACATATTGAGAAAGAAGATCAAATGCAAATCAACACCTACTTATTAAAGTATTGTGTAAATAGAACATTTCATCCTCCACGGATAAAAGTTTTTCACGTAACTTTTTATTCTCTTCAACCAAACTGTCCATAAATGAAAGTTTTTCACGTAAAACTTTGATTTCTTCAAGTAAACTATTAATATCTGTTGATGATGATGTTGTTGAATTTGTTGCTGAACAATTTGCAGTAACAAGCGAAGATGATTGATGTTTATTATTTGAATTTGATTGTTGACCTTGACTAACACATTTATCAGATGTATCAAATGTACCACATATTGTAATTGTTGATGCAAATGGAGGTGGTGGCATCGATTTATCTTTTGTTTTTGGTTCATCATCGTTTGGATTGTTATTGTTAACCTTTTTTTTTCTTTTGTTTTGTTCCTGTTGTTGTTGAACTCGTTGATGATGAAGACATGGCTGACATTCTTCGTTTAAATAAAGAAGTACACTAATCGACGATCTTGTCTCTTTCTTTCCAGATTCTTGTTTTTCTTGACTTTCAGACAAGATTCCTGTATTCAGACAAGATTCTTTTCGACAGGAAAGTAAAAAGAATCTTGCCTGGAGTTCAAAGATGACCAGAGTCTTGCCTGATCGATCAGAAATAAAAGAATCAGGCAAGAATCATAAGATAGTCAAGATATATTTCAAGTTCAGACAAGAATCTTTTTCTTTCCTTTTGGAAAGAATCTTGTCTGCTATTCAAGATCACAAGCATCTGGTCAGAAAATTATGAAAAAACAGAGGCTGGAAAGAAATATAAGATATTTTAAATTTCTTGATGTACAGAGAAGATTCTTTTCAATAGAAAGAAAAAGATTCTTGTCAGCTTTCCGAGAAAAACAAGCACGTGATGTCTTTGTGTGATCGAATATATAAAAGAAACGTTCGAATTATTATTTGTTCATTTTAGTGATGTGAAAACTACAGTACAATGTCACTTTGAGTATGCATCTTTCCTAGAATCGTCATTATATTCGAACGTCATCTGATAGCTCTTTGTTTCGATTGGATATAGAGATAACAATGGAATATACAATAGCGAATTTTTTCCAAAGAATTACAGTTTTATTGAACGTATTTCGATATTCTACTAATCAATATCTTTTTCTTTATTTCATTTTAGACCTTTTCCAGCACTTATAATATTTCTATGGACGAAGAAAATTCCGATAATTTGTTCAACTTTTTGTTGGACAATACTGTTAATAAATTAAGTAATCTCGATATCTACTTAGTTTCTTCTTTTTGACTCACATGTTATCCTTTTTTAGATCCATCATTCGATACACGTAAACAACGACGATAGCGTGATAAACAAAAAAATCAACTGTATTGTACTCAATTATCTTTCCCTCTTTTACTGACTGAACAAATTGTAAATGACTCGTTTTAACTGTGTTATTTCAAAGTAAAAATTTTTCCACTGCTCGTTTTTATTTTCTAGAAAGAATTAAATCAATATTTATCTCAAATTCATGAAAATTTTGAAGATGATGTTGCTGTTAATGATCCAGTTTTTAATAATAATACACTTGTTCACGATATACTTATGAATGATACAAATGCTGCTGGTGCAGATGCTGGTTGTACATTAGATGATGATACACTTGTTGATAATTATATACTCGATGGTGATGATTATAATTATAAATTCATATGAAATTGAGTATATTTTGTTGCGTTTTTTTGTATATTTTACGTAAAGTTTGTAATAAAATAGTAAGAAAAAGATAGTAATAATAACCTATAAAAAACTTTATTACTATGACAAGAATCAGGCAAGACGCTAGAGATATAAGAATCAGACAAGAATCCAAGGAAAAAAGAATCAGACAAGAATATCAAGAAAAATAAGAATCAGACAAGAATTCATGAAAAATAAGAATCAGACAAGAAAGCAAGAACGCAAGAATCTTGCTTGGAGCGGCACTTCTTGCCTCGCCAGCCAAGATTCGGTCTACATGAATCTTGTCAGAAAGGCAAGGTCAGTTTTTTCAGGCAAGAATCTTGTACAGAAGGAATAGAAAAAGAATCTTGCCTGAAAACCAAGAAAAACAAGAATCTGGAAAGAACGAGACAAGATCGTCGATTAGTGAACCATGACGAATTGTTTGAGCAATTTATTCTGATTCTTCCCGAAGACCAGGATGAACACTCCATTGATACATATTCACATATCCATCATCACCAGCTACATCGAGTCCATAAGCACAGCAATCTTTTTTTTTTTGAACCTAGAAAATAAATAAAAACATTTATCAATATGTGAATAGATGATATTTGATGTTTTAAATTGCTAGTTCGTGAAAAAATCTGTTGTTTTGATAGTATCAGAAAATGATTTTTGGGAGTAAGTATAAAAAATGCAAAACCCTACCAAGAAAAAGAATAGTTCCTCGACGACGTTCACGTTGAAAACCTTCAAAGCAAGTTGTGAGACCAATTTTTAATGTAGATACTGATTTTGATCATTTTGTGTTAACAACTGCAAATTGATTGATATCATCTTCCCATCGAACCAAGTAATAAGAAGCCATTTCAATATGGTTTGGCATCTTTAGAACAATTAGATTGATTGATAATCTACGAAAAAAGAGCAATATAACACCTTAAAAGACATAACGTTCGTAAGAAATCTTAAAGAAAAAGAAGTTAAATAAAAAGAAATCGATTCACATTCTCTAACGACAAATACAACCGTTATAACACGCGAGACTTTGTATTCAATAATGCATGTCTAGCCGTTAGAAAAAAATGATTCACATGTATGTTTTGTTTTAAAAATTCTTCATATTAATTGCCTTGAAGAAAACAGGTCTTTGTGAAATCTTGTTTATATATGTTTAGAAGAGGACGAAGACGAAGAGAGTTAAAGAGAGCGCTATTTCTATGACGAAACCAATGATATATAAATATATATATATTTGGTCAGATGTCGCTTGAATACACGACAAAAGAATTCAAGAATCACTTATATAAACTAGCGATTCTATCGTCAATCTCAGGTTTTCTATATACAATAAAATTAAAAAAACTATTTCTTTATAAATATGACTAATCAAATTAATAATATTGCTGACGAAAATTCATACAATTTATAATTTAATGAACAGTAATTTTACGATAAAGAAATTATAACAATAATGATTGTTGTTCTTATTTCTGTCCTATATGATACAAACAGTTAAAGAAAGAGGCAAATCGAAGTTAATGATTTTTAGCATTCCAAATTCAAAAAATTTTGGTTCTTAATAAAAGAAATTTGAAAATTGATAATCGATAAATGAACTAAGCCATTGGAGAATCTTAAATAATTAAACACTCATGTTTTTCCTAATGCAAGTTTGTAACTTTGTTATTCATAAGTTATGAATACGTACTAGAACGTACTGAATTCAAGGTGACAAAGACTTTTCATAAGCAAGCAACTAGTGCAAACTCAATGTTACATTAAGTTTATGTAATTAGACTACAATTGACAAGTGTTAAAGATATATCCAACTATCAATGTAGGATGTCATACTCAATTTCGGACTAATCTGATTCAGAGAGCATGTCACTTCTAGTAAAACATGGTACCCTTGACTGGTGCTCAAGATCTCTCGGACTAGTCCAGACATGTATTTCAAAATTATTAGACTAGTCCAGTCCCGTCATTATATTATCTTATAAGACAGTGACTGGTCCAGATGTCGACACCAAGTATTTAGGACTAGACTTGACTAGTCCTCAGAATATCTTAGACTAGTCCAGAGATGTACTTCAAAATTATTAGACTAATCCAGCTTCATCGTTACACTACTTCATAAAAAACTGACTAGTCCTGACGTCGGTACCAAATATTTGGGACTAGACTTGACTAGTTCTCAGAATATCTTAGACTAGTCCTGGCATATATTTCGGCAATATCTGACTAGTCCAGCCCTGTCAGTATATCGCTTTTTGAAATACTGACCAGTCCTGACGGCAACATTTAGTATTTTAAACTAGTCAGGACTGGTGTTGTGGATGTTTTGGACTAGACATGTCGCCAGTCGTCTCGTTTTTTGCTTGCCTGGGATTTGATTAAGTATGTTTTTTTCCTTCTTGCTAATGATCATAATAACGAATAAGCACAAATATCTTTTCTAATAATGTGATAAATTCGTCGTTTCTTCGAGAAATAAGAAAAAAGAGACATGACACACATTAAGTGATCATTAGTCAGAACAGATAAAGAAAATAATCAATGAACACTTTCAATACTGATAAGATGCCTCAGTCAGACAGATGAAAAAGAACATATGAAAAAAAAATGTATATAGCTAGTTTTCTATTCTTGTGTGAGTAATATACAAATACTAGACGGACTAAGTTCATTGCTATATATCAGTTTCTTCAGAAACTTCATGGCTTTCGAATAATCAATAACTCATCAATTTTACTTTCAATAGATTAGCTCTTCAAGATGAGTGAGAAATAGAGCGTCAATAATGTACACACGAAAAAAAAGAAACTATTAATTGAGTAAAGAAAACGTTTATTGGAGCAGAACAATAAATTATCATGACGAAAAGAAAAACATATGAAAATATATTTACAATATGTACAAAAAAATAACAAAAATAATTAAGAGGGAGACGTGGTTGGTGACGACGACATTGATGGATTTTATTGGTTGTTACCAATTCCAATCATGCAAATTTTGTTTCCTATAAAACACAGTCATATAAATGAAAAAAAAACAGATTTTCATTTACCTGCTCTAATATCTCTTCTTCGACGATGTTCAGCCAAAGATTTCAGGTAACACCACGAACGCTAAAATGAGACAAATGATTAAAATACTATAACTTTCAAAAGCATACATGGAACTTACTTTAAAAACACAACCATTACGAATACATTTAATCCCACACCAGCAACTACCAACAAATTCTCCTGATGAAACGACACTTACGACAATGTTGAATCCACTGGACAACCATTCGTAAAGACCCTTCAGAAAGAAACCTGACTTACTAGTAGTTGCCAGTGTATTCAACATTGCCGTAGTTGTGGTCGCTTCAGCAGGCGGATTTGAAGGTGTTGCTACTGTCGAATTATAATCCTCGAAGCTTTTAAATACAATGTGCTAAACAGACAAATTCAAATCGATCGAAAACATTAATACTGTAACTTACATCAGAGATAGGAGCACCCACCAACACAACACCATATAACGCATAAATAGAATAAGAACATTTTCATAGTGACAAAAGTAAAATAATGTTTATGTGGCAGTAAAAACGAAACGCCCAAATATATAAACTCTCCATCCACATAATTCGATTACATCACACACATACTACATCAAAGCAAAACAATAATTTTACAACCTCCGAAACAATCAAAGAACACCAATCCTGCATATAAAAACAAAACCATACATACATCAATAAACTATACAAAAAGATTGCCAATTGATCATGAACAAAAACAACACCGACATCATAACGTAACGCCTCAAATTCTCCGTCCAGTGACACATTACTCGAGCTTTTCAAATGAAAACTACATTCCACAAAATCATCCTCAATATATCAAGTAAACATAATTATATCTGTCGGTAGGGTCTTTTTACTCTTACAAGACCCTCGTTAAAAGTCGATTCTCTCTTGGCAATGGAAATTGAGTTCACTAGAATCGATCTGAATATGTGACCTGATCACATGAGACATGTGAGTCGGATTTTTTTCTTGGACTCAAGGCCCAAATTCAAAATCGATTCTCTTTTGGCAATGGAAATTCAGTTCACCAGAATGGATCTGAATATGTGAACTGACGATATGAGACATGTGAGTCGGATCTTTCTTTTGGACTCAAGGCCCTATTCAAAATTCATTCTCTCTATAGTGAATACATCATCTTGCAGAGCATTAAGTTCTCTATCCAATGATGTATTCATTCTCTCTTGGCAATGGAAATTCAGTTCACCATAATCGACCACAATATGTGAACTGTCCATATCAGACATGTGAGTCGGATCTCTTTTTTCGACTCAGGCTCTATTTGAAAATCGACTCTGTATAGTGAATACATCATCTCGTAGAGAATTTAATTCTCTATGGAATGATGTATTCATTCTCTCTTGGCAATGGAAATTCAGTTCAGCATAATCGATGTGAGTATTGGAGCCGCCCACATGGGACATGTGAGCCGAATCTTTTTTTTTCGACTCAGACACTATTCGAAATCGACTTCTCTCTATAGTGAATACATCCTCTTGTAGAGAATCAAATTCTCTATGGAATGATCTATTGGTTCTCTCTTGGCAATGCAAATTGAGTTCACTAGAATAGATCTGAATATATGAACTGACCATATGAGACATGTGAGTCGGATCCTTTTTTTGGACTCAAGGTCCGATTCAAAATCGATTCTCTCTATAGTGAATACTTCATATTGTAGACCATTAAATTCTCTATCGAATGATGTAGTCATTCTCTCTTGGCAATAGAAACTGAGTTCACCATAATTGACCACAATATGTGAACTGACCATACTGGAGATAAAAGTCGGATGTTTTTTTCGACTTAGAGCCCTTGTCAAAATCGAGTCTCTCTATAGTGAATACATCCTCTTGTAGAGAATCAAATTTTCTATGGAATGATGTATTGATTTTCTCTTGGCAATGGAAAT